ATCACATTTAAAGATTTTTTCTACACTTAATCAAAATTTACCGTGCATGTATCATCTTACATGCAAGGAACCCTCCTTTATAGCTCAACTTAGGAAAGTCCTCACCTTCTAACTCTAATCACTCATGAGGAAAACCTACCCTAGTTTTTTCATAAAGAAACCCAACCTAATAAAAACGTAACACTTAGAACAATTTTGCTTGAGAGAATCGATTCCATTAGACTGAAAATTGATTCCTACATATTGGAGTCAATTCTTTATAAGAAATTTATGTTCAAAAATCAAATGTTTATTTTTAAATTGGTTGTGCTTCGTGGGAATCAATTCCATGTCACAATAACTGATTCACAATCCCTTAGAACAAGTTTTCATTTTTTTTTTAATCGTAAACTCCATTTTTAGTTTTCCTTATTTCTTCACTTTTGATTATACTTGGTTATAATTAATTAGTCATACAAGAAATTCTAAGACTTGACATAGAAACCTTATAAGTACAATCTCTTAACTTTATTATTATTTTTATTTAAACTTAATCTCTTTTATATCTTCTTCTTGTCGTGCCTTTATCCTTACTTTTAAATTTGGTTTGTTTTTGACAAGGCTTAGTTTTTGATTTTGTCTTCATTAAACTTTGTTGAATAACATGTTCTAGAAGTCATGTTTAACAATAAAATTATGGACTAACGAACTTATCATTGAAAAAAAAGAGTTTGTGAACCTATTAATAAATAGATCAATCCAGTTACAAGTTAACAAACTTATCATACATTAAATGGTTAAAACCACAAAACACATTGAAATTTATAGTAATTAAAACAAATCCAAGTTAGAAAATCTAAAATCTTAATTTTTTAAATAATGTTATATATGTATATATATTAAATATTTATATTTTATTAAAATAATATTATTTATAATTGGGTCGACTCGTCAAAATCTAATAGGGTTTTCAAAAAAGCCTACAATCAAGAATAATTAACTAAAAAAAAACTTTTAGAAAGCCTAGGAAGAAACTGATGGTTTATTTAATGACTTGGAATATTAGTGCTTGCGGTGCAAGGTATTTTGAATTGTCCTTTTATTGGACCTTCTTGACAATGAAAAAAACAAAACAAGATTGTAGTTATATATATATATATATATATATATATATATATATAT